CGCCATTTCCCCCCAAACCCTCCCACGTCCCGCCGTCCCACTCCCTCCCCCGTCCATGGCCGAAACCCGGCCGAACTCCGGCAGGCTGGCCGTCGACCCGCCCGGAATGACCAAGAAGAAGAAGGGCAAGGCGCCAAGGAAGCCGCGGTCGGAGTGCACGCCGGAGGAGATCGTCAAGTTGGACGCGGAATCGGCGAAGAGGAGCCGGAGGACGGTCGCCAAGGAAAACATCGCTGCGGCCAAGTTCGCTGCCGACCGCGCTGCTTTGGAGGCCGCGCGGCGCAAGGCCGAGGTCGAGGAGAAGGAGGCCATCGTCAACAAAGCGCACGCCCTCCTCATGATGGGCATTTATCGTCCGGCCAGTTTCTCTGCAGCGGCCGTTGGTCCGGCGAGCACAGGCTCCTCGGTCGCCCGGCCTTCGCACTGCCAGTCGCCGACGTCGCGAACCACTCCAATGTCGCCCGGCTTTCCCCCGCCAAGGCACGACGGGCAGACCCGTTTCTCGGGATCGCCGGACGTGAGCGTGATCGCGCCAACCACCCCGCGCTCGGCGGCTGTCATCGACCTCAACGTCACCCTCGGTCCAGCAGCGGTGGCCGACCGTCCGTCGAGATGCAAAAAAAGCAAGCACGGCCGCCGTTTACGGGTACCATGCCGTCCCCCCGCGTCTTGTTTGACGGAATGCCAACACCAACGCCACCGGCCGACGACCCCTACTACGACCAGTTTCATGGAGGAAGTGATCTACGAGGGTGGGCATGTCCCTGTCTACGACCCCGAGGAGACCCAAAGTCAGGATGGTCGCGGCCAGTTCACTGCCGATGAAGAGGCCGACGACCGTGCTGACTACGACCATGGTGACTCGTGGCATGAGGACGATGACATCTATGTCGAAGGTGATGGTGATGAAGAAGAAGGCAATGACATTGATATTAATGGCGAGCCATTGTTCATCGACGAGCTCACCCAAAGAGCGGAGCACAAAAGAGGAGGAAGAGCATTTGCACGGGTTCATATACACAAGATGAGGACAAGTTGATTTGCCAATGTTGGATGGAGATTAGCCAAGATCCGAGGACGGGCGCGCAACAAAAGGGCCTAGTTTTTTGGACGAGAGTCCACACAACTTTTCATGAAAGGAAGATGTTTGAGCCCTACCAAATCACAAGCAACCGTGACATCACCTCGATTCAAAAGAGGTGGTTGTTCATCCAACAAGAGTGCAACAAATATTGCGCCGCATTTGAGGGCGTTGAAGCACGGCCCGTGAGTGGTCTTGGCGTTGGGGACATGGTATGCTCTCCTCATCCTAGTCCTTTCCTTGCTACGGCCAAGTGACTTCGGCCTTGTACATGTTTGCATGTCCAATTCTTGTTGATCTTGTGGTGTAGGCATTTCAATCTTTGGAAGCATTCAAGGCCCGGCACAATGACAAGCCATTCACTCTTACGCATTGTTGGACGATCATCAACAATTGTCCTAAGTGCAAGGATCAATACCGTGAGCTTCAAAGGAAGAGAGGCAAGAAGACGGCCAAGTTCGCCGGAGGTGGAGATGGCGAGGCGTTGAAGAGGCCGAGGGGCAAGACCAACTCCAAGGTGGACGACATACGTGATGCCTCATCCATGGCCTTGCATGAGATGTTGCATGGTATGATGTCTCAAAAGGATGTGAGGGATGAGAAGAAACGGCAAAGCAAGGACGAGCAAATGAAGCAGTACCTAGAGCTTCAAAGGAAGAAGCTTGAGATGGAGGAGGTGGCCAAGAGATGGATGATCGACATGGAGGAGGCGGCGCGGCAAAGGCAGCTCGACATCGAGGCCGAGAATGTCAAGGTCAGGCAGAGGCAGCTCAACATCGAGGCCACCAATGCCGCAACCAAAGCGAAGGAGGTCGCCCTTGCGATCATGAGCATGAACTTGACCAAGATGAGCGACAAGAAGAGGAGCTAGTTCGAGGCCAGGCCACCGCATCACAGGACAGGCCCGGACACGATCCCATTGCCCTACCCAAACGGACAGAATGCTGACAAAACGGACGTCCGGTTGGGGTCGCGCGGTGGAGTTGGCCTCATCAAAGTATGTTTTATTGTACTTCTTCATCCAGTCCTCGAACTCCGCGTCCATGTCCCGCTGTTCCTTCAGGGTCCCGCTGCCACCAGTCGCCTCATGTCGGGCCTTCCGATCGTTGCACGCCTCGTCGCTGATGA